TATCAAAACAAACTCTTCAAATGTCTGAAAAGTCGAGATCAGTAAAATCCCTAACTTCAGCCTCTGCCTGAAATGTTCCTTTCAGCGTCTGTCTCTTTAAGCCCCGCCTCCCCACATGCCCACTCTCTTTTGATTGGCCAGCTCTCAGGAAGCCCTACAGGGTGCAGAATGCTGCAGGGCTGCCAGGAAAGGGCTGCTCTCCAGTGCTGGAGAAGAGAGTCTATGTAAGAGTTTCAGCGCTCACGTAGAGGCTTGAAGCAGTCTGGTGAAATTCTTGGTTTCATATCGGGGAACTATGGCGTGATTTACAGAACAAGCCGTTTAGCGCCCCCTGCAGTCTCATCCTGAGATTATTCTGATATACGTTTACCTCATGATCTGAAACTCCGCCCACATTTAGTTTGAGCAAACAGCATTGTGACATGTGAGTTTTAAAATGGAGATCAGCAGGATAGGTCTTTAGACTTTAACAAAGAGTTTGATGCTAACTTGTGATTTCAGTTCAGTGCTGGTGTGGATGGGGAGGGCTTAATTGACTGTGACATTGTAATATCAACACATGACACAATGTGTCTCATTAGATTTAGATTGAAGTGTTCATCAATCCTGATAGTGCTCCAAAGATAGTTTCCCTCCTGATTAAGCCCCGCCTACCTCGAACATAAACAAGAACACAGTTGAAACACAAATAATGACATGTGGAACAAAAACTACACTTTGACCTTTGACCTTTGGTATAAAACGTTGTTTCCTGATGATCCTGAACATCTTTTTTAGCCGTCATTGATGTAACTTCTCTTGTTCAAACCGACCTGTCGTCTGCTGCAGGAATGGATCTGTGTCTGGAGTCGGATCACGGCTGTGAGCACATCTGTGAGAGCTCGCCGGGCTCCTTCCACTGCCTCTGTCTGCCCGGATACACCCTGAACAACGACGGCAAGACCTGTGCAGGTAACGCACCACACACCAAAAGTCATAATCAAAGACGGAAAATAACCATTTTCTGAACTTGCTGTCAGAAAGTAATTTACATGATGTATCACAGGTTTACTTTTCTTTTTGCTGAATGAAACTTAATGATGTGACAATTCTGAAGCAGCTTCTGCAGTTACAGAAGAATCTGTTTTTCAGTTTGACTCAGGAAGAGTTTCACATTCACGTGCAGCTGTTTGTGGTTTTCAAGGTTTAAATACCGTCACTGCCTCCATCAGCTTCACGTCAGATTCACTGTTAACGAGTTTCAGGTGAAGTAATCCATCAGCCAAACCAGAATAATTAACACCTTGTTGACCTCACACAGCGTCTTAACCTCACACCTCTCCTGCTGTGATAATGAACGTAGCTACAGAATGAATCACTCTCAGATGTTTGTTCAGCAAACAGCAGCCTCGTGACCTACATGTGAATACACACGCTCATTCTGAGACGAGAAACAGGACGATGGACGAACGTGTGAATATTTAAAGGAGCAGTATGTAACTCTGACCCCTAGTGTTTAAAATGGGTACTGCAGTCTAAATTCAAATCATCATAGAGAGCTGTCTCCCCCCCCTCCTCTCTAGAGTGGATGCTCACTCAGGTCACCATGTGGTGGACTCTGAAGCTTCAGTGTTTATCCAGCTCTGCATGGGTCTGTAAACCTTTCTGTGTTCTAACCTCTCTCCATTTTTCAAAAGCATCTCCAATATTGATCCTAGTTTGAGCACGTTTCTGCTCGTGGAGCTTATTAGAAACATGCAGAGGCTTTTAGGTCGGGTACAATCACTTCTATCTGAACCACTTCTCTTGACCGCTTCCATCGCTGCAACACCTGTTGACCTGATAACTGCTCTCATATCTGACAAACCGAGGGGCGTCCAAAACGGCCGTGTGGGGGGTCGCCTTAAAAGCGCCTACCTTCTCTGGTCCAAACAAATCCAGAGCATTCAGGAGCAGAATCTAGAAGGAGGACATCTAACACACGTATTAAGTAAAGTTTTCCTCAAAAAAGCACATAACATGAAGACACACAAAGTTAATGTGTGTGTGTGTGTGTGTGTGTGTGTGTGTGTGTGTGTGTGTGTGTGTTTCAGCCATAGATCTGTGTGCTGAGGGGAAACACGACTGTGAGCAGGTGTGTGTCAGCTCACCTGGTTCGTTCACCTGCGACTGCAACAAAGGATACAAACTGAACGACGACAAGAAGACCTGCACAAGTACGTCTCTCTCACACACACACACACACACACACACACACACACACATTCTTGATTTCTCTGCTGCTTCATGACGCTGAGTGCACGTTACATCTATGTCCTCCTTCATCCATCACGACAATAAAATAAACGTTTCTTTAACAAGAAAAAAAAACACGAGCTGTAATTTTGGCCGTGAAAAAGTTCTGGACCCGAGGTTAGCACGCGTCCGTTTATCCATTCACTGATATTTATCGGCGCTCATTTTATCATTACTGTTTTATGTTGAGGTTTATTTAAAGTCCGTTGAAAGTTGGTTACAGTTAACGTTCGGACCTCGCTCTGAGCGAGAGCATAGACCCTTTAGGGACGACGTCACGGTATAGCTGGAGGCAAAAAGAAGCTAAACAAGAGGTAAAGACGAATCACCACCAGAGGGTAGCAGGCGACTAAGGAGTCTTTAAATGTCGTTTTGTACGGCGCCAGAAAAGAAAGAGTCAAGCAGTAACGTCTCGAAACTGAAACTGTACCCTAAACGAGCCGCCACTGCCGGTCAACAACACGTAAAATGTTGCTAATCTCATAGCATAGCTAACATAACACATGTGGCTAACGGTCAAGATGTCGTTATTTGCTCTGTTGACAGTGAGCTAAACTTGCATGGCGGTCTTCTGTCCTCGCTGCTGGTTGGTCAGAACTTCAGACCGTATAAGTCACAAGTTAATCGAGTATTTAAAGTCCCGTTAGCGACGTGGTTAAAGGTATCTAAGGACTCAAACGCCCTCAGTTTTTGTCTTTACGAGACACTCGTCCACTGAGTGAGAGCGTTCGGCCGGTTTGCTCACTTCAGTCTTTATTTCTTCCACGAACGCTCTCTGACCCGGAGAGGAAGTGACATCATATATTCAGAGAGACTCGTATTACCTTCTGCCATTCTCCACAAACAACGTGTTAGCTAACGTCCGCTAACGTGTTTAGGAATGTTTTGCCTCCAGCTAAGCCCCGGCCACCCCAAAACATCAGACTGTTTACTAACGCTAAAAGGGTCTCACAGGTGAGGTAGGGGGTCGCTGTCTTGTTTAAGGTAAGGTCTCACAGGTGAGTTAGGGGGTCTCACAGGTGAGGTAGGGGGTCTCTGTCTTGTTTAAGGTAAGGTCTCACAGGTGAGTTAGGGGGTCTCTGTCTTGTTTAAGGTAAGGTCTCACAGGTGAGTTAGGGGGTCTCTGTCTTGTTTAAGGTAAGGTCTCACAGGTGAGTTAGGGGGTCTCTGTCTTGTTTAAGGTAAGGTCTCACAGGTGAGTTAGGGGGTCTCACAGGTGAGGTAGGGGGTCTCTGTCTTGTTTAAGGTAAGGTCTCACAGGTGAGGTAGGGGGTCCCTGTCTTGTTTAAGGTAAGGTCTCACAGGTGAGTTAGGGGGTCTCACAGGTGAGTTAGGGGGTCTCTGACTTGTTTAGGTAAGGTCTCACAGGTGAGGTAGGGGGTCTCACAGGTGAGGTGGGGGGTCTCACAGGTGAGTTAGGGGGTCTCACAGGTGAGGAAACAGGAACATAGATGTCCTCGTGCACGTCCTGCTGCTCCGCTGCTCACCGCTCGCTGCTCTCCTCCCCTCAGTGATCGACTTCTGTTCCTATGGAAACCACAGTTGTGATCATGAGTGTGTGAGTGTGCTCAACGGCTATCACTGCCGCTGTAACCACGGCTACCGGCTGCTGGATGACGGCAAGACCTGCCAGGGTGAGTACTGCACACCTGAAACCGGACACACAGTCAGAGCTTCATAGAAACACACACACACACACACACACACACACACACACACACACACACACTCACACATGGCTGTCACACTGGAGGTCAACACTGACCTGATGGAGCTACTCATCCATCTTATATTTATTATAAATATGGTGGTAAAGGACCAATCAGTGAGCTGTGTAGTGAGTGAAATTATAAAGTGACCTTACTACAGAGCGCCACAGGAAGGAGTCCTAAAACCAGGAAGTAAGTTAGCATGTTAGCGCCATGGGGTCTAACGTCTAAAAGTCAACGGGGATTTTGAATGTGTTTTGTGGTTAGACTCCTGAAATAAGGTCTGTGGTTAACACAAGCTGAAGAGATGTTGGTGTTTTGTTAGATCACATAAACTACGTTAGGTAATACCTCCACTTGTGAAGTTTGAAGTTTTTACTCGTCTTTAAAAAGGCGGTTGCTAACAAGCGGCTAAATGTGACTACAGTGGTTGTCGGGGACATTAAAGGTCATCACGCCGGACACAGAGGGCGGGAACTCTCTCACTAGTCGGAGATGTCTCCTGTAGGTTTAATCTTTAGGTTCAGGTGAATATTATGTTAGTAAACTATTTATTAAACTACGTGGATTAGTTTATCAGAGATCGTCTGAAGCATAACGCTAGTGACGTCACAATCATCCCACCGTGGTGTAGTTAGCTTTAGCATAACGTTAGCTTCTTACTTCTGTCGGCCGCATTAACGCTTCAAACATCATAAAGATGGCGTTCATCTGTGAAGATGATCCTGCTGAACAAAACGCCTACGCTTCAGAAACGTGTGTTTACCACAGAGATTATTTTCTGCAATGATCCAAAATCCAATGAAAACATCCCAGAGGAGAATTCTCATTAGACCCCCATGGTCTACAAAAATACAAAAATACATCATATGGTTTGTTCTCTATCTGATCAGACATTAAGGAAAACATGCTATGTTGAAGTGCTGGCTTCTCTGACAACAATGCAGCAGCCAGTATGTCCTCCTTCTAACTTTAGATTCTGCTCCTGAATGCTCTGGATTTGTTTGGACCTGAGAAGGTCGGCGGTTTTTAAGCGTTGGAATCCCAGTGGATTGTGGGATGTGTAGTTCCTTCAATCGCAGAAAACATTTTTTTTGTTTTGGTGCCAAAACAATCATTTTGATTTTAAGGATTTTCTGAAATGTCACCGTAGGATTTGAAGGATGAAATTTCCTTCTAGACCCAGAGCTGTTAAAAAAAGTGGACGCTCACTGTTGAGTTCGATTTCAGTGAAGCTCCTCTGAGATCCCTGTAAACCAAAAAAAATATATACATGTTTTTTTAGTTTTTTATAAAAAAAAAGAAGAATGTATTATAAACCACCAGGCCAAATTTCAGCAACAAAGTTTATAAAATTAAACTTCAAAATCATGAAACATTCTCTCTCCTCTGCGATGCTGTGGGCGTGTCCATGGAATGTGCCGAAGCCACGCCCACTTCGCGGAGAACGTTCCTTCTCAACTGTCAAAAATGTAAATGACTGACAATGGAAATCTCAGTTTATCACCTGAAGGCAGCGACTGATTAGAGGAGATACGATAGATGATTTGTTTAGTGACCAGCTCGTGGAGATTTCCTCTCACATCTTTAGAAATGAATACTTTAGTGTCAGTGTGCATTCAGGGACAGTGTTGGCTGTAGGTCATTTGTGTTTTGACTGATTGTGTTTCCATTAACAGAAAAAACGACTCAGCTTCATCTTAATGGACATTCAGGGAAGATAAATACAAAACCACTCTCTGGCTCGGATGCTGAAGGACATTTTCATAAAAATGTTCGAAAAAAACACTAATAAATAATGTTTCTGGAAAATAAATCTCAACACACACATACAGTTTAACTCTATGTGTGTG